CACCCTGTATGTAAATATTTCAAAGTAGCCCCCGGAGTATGAAGTTTTGATGTTATTCAGAATTACTCACTCAAGAGGATCACCCTGTAAGGAAATATTTCAAAGAAAATATGAGTTTTTGATGTTCAGAATTACTTATTGAAGAGGATCACCCTGTAAATGCCTGAACATCAAAAGTAAGTACTTATATGGTCCTGAAGAATCGTTCTGGAACTATCGCTGCCTGTATTTCTATAAATATATACTATAATATATATATAAATATATCAGGATGACCACCAACTTCCTGGACACCTTGTATATCTTATAATTTATAGTCCAAAATAATAATGTACCCTTATATAATTAATAATCATTCGACCTGTTGTCAGATTATATATCTAGTTTTGAACAGTAAACTCACAAACTGTGCAACTGATTAATCCAGTATTTGACCAATTACCGAAAAATCACAAAAAAAATACTATGCCCTTGAGACATAGGATGGAAGATCTCGAGAGTTGCCCCAAAATGCAATTAAAGTGATGACAGAAAAATGCAAACTTGATATCCTAATTTGAATTGGGGTAGAATCATTGCTTTTATTTACACCTATACAGAAAGCAAAACACCCTGTACAATCCTGAACTGAACACGTTTGGGCGCCAATTTGTCACCCCCTTTCGTTGAGAGTGGAAATTAGGGTTGTAGGTACCACTTCACTGGAATACAATCAACCAAAGGGGGCAGCAACTATTGATATTCCATCAATTTATGGTAGCTCAGTGGAGGGGGAGTGGGTTTAAAAAGATACCAAACCAAGGTTTGAACTTATTACTCAGAATATATTCAGGTATTTGCCCTCTGCAAGGTGCCACAGTCAGATAATCACAAATTATACTTAATATTATATCTATTGAGGTCTGCCTACCATTATGAATGACAATAATAATATGATCATATAGCAAAGTTCTAAGGCCTTGATAATCTCCTAACATACAAACAAAAAAATGAAGAAGTTACAAGTTATGCATAAGTTATGTAAGGTTTGAGGTTATGTGTAAGGTCCTGAACTATGATGGTTTGTTATGAAATACAGTGTTATTATATTATAATTCAACTACCTGTATTGTCCAATGAATAATTCAATTAGATACCTTTACCTGACGGATGAAATCCATGGACTTTGGTATACCAAATCGCATGAAGGGGGCTCTCAGACTGAGGCAAAAAAAGTATCACTTTAATGACAAGCTTGTTTGGGTTTCAATGCTACCATTATAAGGCTGACCATTCCGCAAAGCGTAAGTATCATGACAATAGCTATATCTTCAAGCAATAATTCTACTATAATATACTACTTTCAGGAAAATACTGCACACAAGCACAAGCATGAAGCATACTCTCAGAGATCCATTAATGTATCATGCAGGTGATTTTCAATAAAAGAAAAATGATGTCTTATCTGTTGGTACTTCTCTGGTGAGACAGTACACTATAATCCAGTCCTCCAGTAGACTGTTCCAGATGGGGAAAACTGGGTACGGATAGCAGGGTGGAACATCCCTTGGTCCAAATATTATGGGTAGAAATCAAGTCCCAGCTACATATGTCCAGGCCTGTATACCTGATAGTCTGATCTATACCTTGTCTAGCTAAGACCAGGACAGGAGGTGTACCAGAGGGGGTACAAGAGGAAGAAGAGGCCCTAGAAGGGTCAAGAACTCAGTTGGTCCCTACTACAACTTTTCTTGGTGAAAGGGGGTGCAGACTGAAAAAGTTACATACCTGGATGAAGGATGGCCTCGCAGTGTGGCTTCAAAGAAGCTTCCTCAAGATGAACTGATTGGATTGTCACAATTATATAAATCCACTATTAAAGTGATAATCTGTACTAATGACTCAGATTGAATAAATACTTTTTCGAATCCAACCAAATTTGAAGGCAAAAATCCGCAAAATTGCGATTGCTAACGCTTCCACATGGACATCAGCAAAAAAGAGAGGGCCCCCTTTTTTTCCCACCTTCTCACCGAATCTCTGGGGAATTCCTTCCTGAAACCACGATTAAGTTGGACATCCTGTCCGATGTCAACTGACACTGTTGACAAGAACCTGACAGGGAATCCGACAAGCCGACCGTTAACGAGATCAAAGACCACCCATGTCTCTCGCCAGTCGTGCGAACATTAGCAAGGCTGTCGAGGGAGTCTCTAGACTATAAAGCTTCATACCTCAACCGATTAAGTCGGGTTACCCTCAGGAATAACAATTTAGGCCAGTACACAATTTACGTAGTGATGAGATCTCGAAAACGAATAATCGTTCTGTGAATCTCACCTAGCGTTCACTCAAGTTCTCTGCGACTCGACCTTAATCCGTGCGTGGAGCCATAGCTGCAGCGTAGCGTAATGATCGGCACCGCCCCGACACATTAGTTCTCGTTGAACCTGTGTCATAAGAAGAAGGAAAAGACCCTACGGTGGATTATAAGGATTTCGCAGTTAATGAAAAAGAAAGAAGAAGACATTTTGAGATGACATCAAGGTTGACTGGCTGACAACAATGATATGAACGTCATATGAGCAGCAGTCAGCAGAGGTTATATTGATATTACTATCAACTCAGAGATCTTGCACTAATCGGTAATTGTTATTGTTTGGAGCCAGAGTAAATTCATGATGAAGGCCCCATTCCACCTTGGTGCCACCACTTGGCTCTAGTTCAAAGATTGAGGGCTGAACTCGGATACGTCCCTTCAGAGGTAGGCGATACCTAGTTGAATAATTTATGGAATGATACTTGTAATGCCTGAATGCTATTGACGAATATTATCGATTTTATACAATTCTATAATTGATAATGTTTTTCTATTATAGATGATAGGTTCTCATGGAGTTGGCCCAGGAAAATATAATGATCTGAACACCGAGTACCTGCCCTGACGAGGAAGTAGAACATGAATATCTTTATATTGCTTGTTATCGAGAATAAATGAATAAAGATTGAATGAGTATACTCATTTGTTTACTGTCTTTCTCTCCGCCATTCAGGTTCTCAACAGATAACCAAACAGTCTCCGAAGTAAACCGTAACACCTTATGAAAAAAATGTCGATTCTTCCTTGAATGATTGTTTGAAATTATTGTTATCACTTGCTACACTTATCGCCTATTCAGACTTTGTGTGTAGCTCATATTTCTCAAGAAATAACTGGGTGTAACAGTATAACACACCTGCAAAATCATTTACCCCTTTGTAATTTTGACTATAACGCTATATCGATCGTGATGTATAGTCGAATTGAGAATGAGAAGAACCGAATTAATATGGGGGTGCAATTCGAAAAACCAAAATAAGGGGATGGTTTCTAGTAGAATGTTTGACACAAGGGTGGATTTGATCTCACCGTTTTGGAGAGCTTTCACTCCTATAAATTCCACAATTCTTTGAATTTTTTTGTATGTTTGATAACCCAAATATCTGCTGGCCTAAAAGCTCTGGGACACCTGGTATATTTTTATCTGAAAGAGAATGCAGATGCTCAACTTCAGAATATTTTAATTTCAAATTCTCATTGTGAATATTCAATATATGTAATTCAATATTTATCGTGGCATATAGGGAAAGTATTTTTATCCTGTTGAATATCCCGAGAAAGTATAATTTTTTTATCAGATAGAAGGTACGAATGTAGAAGCAATATTATGGAAGTTTGATTATTCATATAGGTTTATTTTGGTGAAATCTGATTGTAGGCGTCCACTCAGCTTTCCAATGAAAGTTATTCAGAAGAAAAATAAGTTTTTGTGAACTTCACATCTGACTGGTTGAAAATCATGTTGGTGCATCTGCGGTGTCAATACAGAAATGGCAATACTTTCAATAGTATCAGTAGTGTCATGAGTAAAATATGATATATCAATGAATCACTAGATCAGTAAGTTCGGATCACGTTCGAACTTCGAATGATGATCAAGAAACGTGCAAAGCTATAATAATCTGGATGTGAGGGTTCCAAAGTTATCTGGTCTAGGGCTACTCTCGACTCGTCGTTATGTTAATCAATATAACATTATTAGGTATTTATATTTATTGATGTTCGTTTATATTCCTCACTGCCCATGCCATAATAAATATTGTTATGTTCGAATAGTCTTGTGATATGAGCTACCCCTAAACTATCTGAGTATAATTATTTGAATGAAGGTATGTTATTTTGATATAATTGTATTCCGACATTCGTGATATGTATCTATTAATGGCAACTTCGACCAGTTTTTATCCAAGGTGAGCCTTGTAAGCTCTAAAAGTACTTATTGAATGCATTTTTTTATCGTTATCAATTTTTTTACTAGTAAAATGCTTATTATTGCATATGTATATTGGTTTTTTATTTATAATAGGTATCGACTGTAGTTTCTTCGTTTCACATAGTTATGGTTTCATCCACTCAACGACACTTCTTTGGGTTATTTTTCATTTCAGGAATTGGTTGAAACTTCATTATTTTATTCTTACTAAGTCATGTCTGGATATTTTTAGCACTCAAATGAAATATATTCCTACTTCCTACTGTAACGATTAAACTTCATTACCAAAGAATGATGAATAATAGTCTGTCCATAAATAAAATAATCTCAAATATGTAACAAAAATGTGACAAGTAATAAAATTGACGACGATATGACATATTTCAGAATAAAAGCAGGTGCATCAACATAATTTTCAACTAATCAGAACTGGAGTTCACAATAATTCGTCTGAATAACTTCTATTAGTGAGCTGAGTAAACTCCTACAATCAGATTTCAGCAAAATAAAGCCATTTGAGTAATACAACTTCCATAACATTGCTCCTACATTGGTAGAGGTTTTTAGGTTCGCAACTTGGAGGGAAGTTTCCCATTCTCAATGTATTTCTTCATATGTATCTTTTTTCTTCTTCATTTTCATAATATATCTGAGAATATTCGTTTTCAATAATAAACAATTTGTTGATGGTTCAAATCTAATTTTTAGACAATTCTGCATCAGTATCATTACGCCCTCAATAATTGTCAACCTGATACACTCTTGAAAGTTGGAGCCACCTATCCAGAAATGGCGAGTCAGGAAAAAATAGTGGACGGCTTTGTAGAATTGATAAAGCGAGACCAACTAGATGAAAACGTGCCGACGGAAGCTCTGGAAAAATGTGTCGGTTACTTCAACACCCTTTTCCCAGTTTTACTTGGCAATGATGTCAATATCAATCACACTCAGCTGTTGGGTGATTATATCAGGTGCTTGAACGGGATTGTGGATGGATTCATTGTTGATGCATCTGTTATACGATGTTTGATGAAGGTAAGAAGTGATATTGATTAAGATTCATTGAAACTCGTTAGCGTTCCATTATTTCCAACATGAATTTACAAACATTGCAGATAACACCTAGTATTACTTCAACATATTGATGTGAAAGTATTTCTACAACAATATATCCACTCTCAGATCAATAATTATATATGTGATGGAGAGATGCTTCTATTCAGGGTGTTATCAAAATAAATACATTGAATTGAAACTCTAAGAAGGCTCAAGGTGTACTATCGAAAAATAGCATTGAAAAAATGTAGCCATTAAAATAAGATTTGGGGCAATATCTCTTTTTCCACCCAAAATTCTACCCATCGAGAGTTAGTAGCTCATAGAAAGCCAGTAAAACGAGGAAAATTGCGGTGAACGAAGCGACTTCCTCACAGTTCATAAACATGGTGAGATAGCAAATAAAGTTTAATAGTGGCTATAAAGTTGATGTTTTTTTAGATCTGAGATTAATAACGATGGATAAGTATTCAAGGAAATATTTCAAGAAAACTCGAAAATCTGTGAGGGATTTTTTGAGAAAATATAATCGTTAAGCATGAAAAGTTTCACGGTACATAGAAGTGCGTTAAAACGGTAAAAAAACAACTGAATTAAGAAAAAGAAATACCAAACCACTATGGTTTGAAGAGAATCTTCAGATAACCGACGTTAGAATAGAGAATGCAAACATTTCAATGTTGAATCACACCTCATAAGCATTTCATCAAACACAAGCTAAAAGCTCAGTAGAAATACTAGACACAGGCACTAGAATGGCCAAAAGTGAAGTAAAAACTTGAGGATCAGAAGTCTTCCCTTTATTTTCACACCCCAACACTGAACAGTTCAATGTTTATCAGAAGGAACTTCTTCAGCAAGATATTCGAAAAGTAAATTCAAAATGTCAGTGTCATCAAATTTCCATGTGGACGACAGAGTCAATATCCATGAAGTGGCGTACTTTTTTATTTTTTGTTCAATAATTCTCGAGATGAAATTTCTTGCTGATTTGAGGACTTAGGAAAATCGAATATTCTCTGTTATTTTGTGGGACTTGAGCATATTGTTGTTTTCAATATAAATGTTTTCATTTCGATAACACCCTTTATGATAAAATTGATGGAATAGATATTCAATTTTTCCAAAAAATCTATAGTTTTTAATAAAATCATGTTTATACATGGTGTCCGAAAGGTCATGTCGTAAATAATGGGGCTGATAGAGTCTGCCAAAATATCATTAGTACTTCACATAAAAAAAATGTCTATCGCACTTCTGTACGAAGTTGTTGACCTTGAAACTTTTGCAACTCCATACATAAGGTGCATATCTGCATACTCATCATTAGTACACTCATCCATGGTTTTACCCAAAGTATTAAATAATAAATTTGATGTCAATTATGACAATGACTGCAGCTACCATGATGCTAATAAATAAATAGAGTTTTTACTCGAGTTTTTATTACCTTTGAAACGGTTGGGATGCATTTACTTGAAATGCGATTTTCTCTAGAACGGTACAAGATTCGATTAAAATGAAATCTACTTTGAAAAAAAAAAGATGGGGGAATCAAAAGAAGGAAGCAAAATGTCAAATTTGGTACCTCTGCTTCCATTAAACGGAAAAAATCGTCCCATCCTGCATAAAACATAATCACTGAACAGCCGTTAGCATTTCGATATTAGTGTGAGTTGATTTAGTTGCCTGAATATCATTGATACCATGGCAACCGTTCAAAAGTTATAGATGAAGTATATTTTTTTATTCAAACTTCCAAGATCAATAATTCCTTAACGAAGTGCGATAAACATTTCTTTACATGAGGTATACTGACATTATTCTGGCTCACTGGGTTGCCAAGTTTAGATTTTCAAAAAGGGTTCATTCTTATCAATATAATCCACTATCTAGATCGCTAATGCCATAAGATAATGACAGTATGGATGGCAGCGTTTTTTTCAGGCAATCTATTTGGATTTAATTCTCGGGTTGTTCATATGACATAAAGTGGTCTAGATAAATTGATTATGTCTGTGGTACAGACAAATGATGGTTGGTATTACTTACAGAGTACCAGTGTTGATGACATTGAACTGCTCGTTCAACACATCCTAACAACATCGGATCAGTTGAACCAACAGTTGAAGCTAATGAAAAGGCGCCTACCACCAGATACCCGAATATCCAACTTGGGCCTGAGCAAAGACGTGTTTGAGAATTTGTACCAGTGCTATCAGAATTCGGGGAAGATAATTAGAACTTTACATGATATCGTAAAAACGACGATTCAAACACTTACGGCGGAAGGAGGTATTATCATATATCAAATCAGTAATAAATCGGTACATTTCAACTTTTGATAGTTATATACTAGTTATTTGTTTTACTAGGTAGAAAAGTACAAGATTTGATGCCACAGCTGGCGTTTCATAGCCTAGGCGCAGCCAAGGCTAGAAAACCAGCCAAGGCATTATATCTTCTTTTGTGCCATGTGAAACGTATTTTTTTCTCCAAATTCTTTTCAATTTCACGTCCAAATAATCCATCATTTTTTGTTCACCCTAAGACATTGTCAATTTTGATTACCAATTTAATTCAAACTACTTGGAATGTTGCATAGCAACAAACTTTTTCTGCCTAGGTAGTAAAAGTACACCTTTTCTGTCTGTCTAGTGTCATAAAAAGCCACTTTCAATGTCTTTTGGAGAAAAAATATTTACCCATAATTTCACGTATTTTGTTTGTTTTGAATGTCATCATAATGAGCGCTAACTATTTCACTCTCACTAGTTATTGGTTCTACTAAAACGTGAGTTCAGTGTCAAAGTCAAAAATCCCAAAACTTGGCCGGATTGCCCTAAAGACTATGGCCTGTTTTATCCAAAAGATTGGAAAAAATCATGAAGAATATTTGAACTAATAGAAAATTTCAAGTTATTGAAAGACTTGGGCTGACTTACGTTTTTTTACTCTCAATGTGTAACTTCACTACCAATTCTTATATTGACGGAGAAGATGATATCGTAGGAATATGTCAAATGACACGAAAATAAGTATATTTATCAGTTCTACCAACCCTGACCTCACGTTTCAGTGGCGCGTTTTGGTGGACAATAAATAATGTTAGCCCTCATTATTATGCAAAAAATTAATATATCCCTTGAATTTTTGAACAACTTGAATTTAATACTTCAATCCAAAGAAAGCATGATTTCATATTGATGGTGTAACTGAAAAATCTATCAGTATTATTACTATCATAATAATAATAATAATATATAAATATAGCTACCAGACACACAATTGAATTAAAATAGAATAGAAAAACAATGGGCTTGTATCACAAAAAATTTTTATTTCATAATTCGATAGAACTCACCCCAACTAGCTCACCACCGCAAACCGTTTCTTGCTGTGAGCTCCCTACATTTTATAAAAAATTATTGAAATCTCCGATTTTTCGGACCTCTGAAAACGAGGCGATGATGTGACGTCAAAACCCTAATACTGAAACAAGACTATACCAGACAGAGATGAATGATACATGATTTCTAACAGAGTGAATTAGCTCGAGATCACAGTTGAAAGAATTAATATATCAGTTGCCTCAGTCTCCGTCGGGCTTTTGGTATTTTCTTTTAACTATGGCGAGATGAGGTTTCTACGTCATAAGAGGGTCCGTTTTCAGAAGGTACTATTATTTATGTTCAAAAATAAAACATTCCAGTTAATTTTTCGATCGAATTATGTCGTCAATCATTATTTATGTATAAAAGAATCATTATAAACATGGTTTGAGTTAAAAGTTCTAATCGGCTTTTGAATGATCGTACTGAGGGTGAATTATCTGTGTCTGCATCCAGGATGTTCCATGACGAGAAAACACGATTAAGTATGAAATTCTGCCATTTGACGTCCTGATAATTTGATTAAGGTTCCTTCGAAAAAATACCTCTAGTGGATTTATTACAGATATGAACATGAATCGATTTATTCAAAAAAACTATATTCACTGCCATTCAGAAAAAATCAGGTTGATCAATCAATAACAATTCTAGGTGGTTGCATTTTTGCTCATATTTTAATTTGTGCATATAACAATGATAAGAAGTTATTTTCACTGGTCGTTTTTGTGTAGCTGCTTGGTTATTTTTTATGATGATTCAATTTCAAATGAGTTTACTAGGTACAGCTGATCATTTGAAGAAAAAGTAATGTAAATCATCTACATGATAACATAACAGATTCATCATTCGGAATATTTCATATCATTCTTGGGCGTTTAACAATTGCATTTTTATTTATTTTTATAAGTGTTTCGTGGTTCATTTTCAATTTTCAGGCTCCTTTTGTTTTCTGCCACACACATTCAAACCAATATACAATTTATGAACCTTGATTTCAGAGATGGAGAATGGCATAACCCAGGAGAAGATTAAGGACATAGCTGTTAATGCAAGTGACAAAGTATATGAGCAAGACGATCTTGGCCCCATACAAAGTATAAAGAACTCATTGAATTACATCACTACTCAGATATCTCAAATTGCTCAGTTCTTACAAGATAATGAATATGAGATCAATACCATCAGTAGAAATGAAGAAAAGGTAAACATTAGTATATTCACTCATTTCTCCATGACAAGAAGGTTTGTAATTATTAAAATAATGAACAAAATTATTAGGTTACTGAGAAAGCAGGTGTTCGGCATTCCAGCTCAGATCTTACCAATAAATTCCCGCCACATATAGTATACAGGGTGTAATTTAATTGATGGCTGAAATGATAGGATATGGTTCCTTAGCTCATTTTAAGAAGAAAAGTTTTTATGAACATATGCCCCAAACCTCTGAACATTCGAGCTATATGGGTGTTGAAATTGTATTGTCTCTTTATTGGAAACTTTCGCAATGGAAATACTGTTACTTTCATGAATACTCGTCAAAATAAGACCCCAACGTAGTCGATCAAATGTCACTATTTCAAATAATAAATAGGGCACTAGCCTACTAGTCAAAATAATTTCGTTATGTCACAAATGGATGAAAATGGTTTCTATTTTTTTACGCGAAAACGGTTTCTCGGACGGAGAATATTAAAGAATTCAAATTGTTGCAAAACGAATGAGGATTTCAAAAATGATTTTTATTTTTGGAAAAAGCAAGAGTACAATATGTTTTTGAAAAAATCTCCAGTATACATCCCATACGGACGCCACTGGTGGGAATATTAAATTATCTCCTGAATCAAAAAATACCTAATGCTGCTTATTAGGTGAATATCTAATTTCATGAAAATATCTAGAACATACGAAAATATAGGAAAAAAGTTGTAATGATTGTGATTAAACATATATAGGCCAAACCAGCCGACCCATAAAAAGCACATTTACAATATGTACAATTATAAAATATTACTAACTTAGTTGAGCAAGTTAATAATATTAGAAAATTAGACGCATATGAAAGCTTAGAGATATTTAACAATAGTAATAGAGTAATGAATAAGGATAATGGACTTTTTCCATATAGCTCTCTATATAGTTTAGTAATACATATAAAAAAAACAGTATTGAAGTTATGATATGGAAACGATTTTTTTCTTACAATTTTAACACCCTATAGCTCCAAAGCTGAGAGGTTTGGGGCATATGTTTATATGAACTTTTCTTCTCGAAATGAGCTAAGAAACCATATTCTCCACTTTCAGCCATCAATTAAATTACACTATATATGTATACAGGGTGGGCCACCAGTAACGCCTCGGTCTCTAGAAGGCTAACCACTTATCTTCTTGGAATTCTTCCTCTCTAGGAAGTTGCATGTCAACATAGTCTACCATTTGAAATTATTTTGAAACATACAGGATGTCCCCAAAAATCACAAAACACTGAAGTTGAACTTTTTTCAATCGAACACCCTATATATTATTAAATTTTGAGATTCTCCCTGGTGAGCTGATTTCAACAATCCATCATACTTGGGGTCTAGCAGTTATAATTACTGAGATATAGGGTGTTGTGTCTAAACCACTCATAATTGGTCAAAACGGCTCACATGTCCCTATCTCAACTTTTGATCAACTATCTACTGACATTTAATTGAAACAAATACAGGGTGGTGCAGAATTCAGAATCTTGATCACCCGGTATATGTCCCAATTGAATATCAGTAGATAGTTAATCAAAAGTTGAGATAGGGACATGTAAGCCGTTTCGACCAATTATGAATAGTTTCGACACAAAAAATTCTTGAACTTGGAAAATCTCGATTTTTCACAACCTATATTTCAGTAATTATAACTGCTAGACCCCAAGTATGATGGGTCGTTGAAATCAGTTCATCAGGGAGAATCTCAAAATGAAATAATATATAGGGTGTTCGATAGAAAAAAGTTTAACTTCAGTGTTTTATGGTTTTTGGGGACACCCTATATGTTTCGAAATAATTTTAAATGGTAGCCTATGTTGACATGCAACTTCTTAGAGAGGAAGAATTCCAAGAAGATAAGTGGTTAGTGTTAAATATTTCGTAATTTTTTCCTAAATTTTGGTTGTAGTATCACTCAGTAGAAAAATAAATTGATTGGAATTGAGACATTGAAAAAGTGTAGTTGTCATTGACCTATAATTTGATTTTACTATACAAAATAGTTCCAATTTATCACATGGTCCTTCGGCTAACGTTGAACTGAACGTGGAAGATAGATTTACAGCATTGGGAAGATTCCAAATCCCGAAAAACGAAAAATTTTCAATTCCGACAAGAAGTGTCAGAAAAGAAAACGAAAATGTCAAAAAAAGATTCATTGGAAGATTTAACTCCTCTTCAAGGCTTCGTGACCAACGAATGCGCTAAATCAACTGCTGGAAGAAGTCAATCACACCATACTGAAAAGGCAAGCACCAAGTTTAGCAGGTCAAAGTATACAAAGAGTTCAAGATCTTCAAAAACTGATATCGAAAGGAAGAAATTAACTCTTGAAGCTGAGAAAGCCAAAGCAGAACTTCTTAGACAAGAAATAGAAGCAAAAATGAGGGTAATTTTTTACTTAGAGGGCATTGTCGAATTTTTTCAAAATTTTTGCCAGTACTTACGTATTTTGGGGTGTAGAATACGAATCTGAAAACCAAAAAGCTGGGAAACCAATACTTTTCGAGATATTTGCAAAACAAAATCTTTATCATCACTGTTTTGCTGTTGTTTGGCGGCTCATCACTGGCAATAGGTACTGGCATGTCTGGTGTATACGCACTCCGTGCATATGTTAATGGGAAATAAATTACCAAATTTAGGGTATTTTCTTTGAAAAATTAATGGATATTGCAAAAACTTAATACTGTTAGTTATTTTCCTAGCACCTATTCACAAAAAAATAACAACTATGACAGCTAACAGCACCAAAAAAATCAATGTCAATTGTTTGATCAACAAACAACAAAGAAAGATGATGGCAATGTTGCCATAGCTCGTCCGTTTAACGCTTATTTTCTTTCTAGACGATTCTCAGAAATAAACATGAAATAAATTAAGTTAAATTAATTTAAATTTAATTTCTATACATAGTTTTAGTGTGATTAAAAAAATTGAAAATTCTTTCATTGAATGGAATAGAAAACAATATAGGGAGGGTATTCCAACCATATTCTTTCCAATGTGTGTTTGAAAAATGAGATCTACTTAACCCGAACAAACTAACCTAACTATAGAGCTCGGATTACGATAGACGTTGCGGTTACGATAGACGCTGCGGTTACGATAAACGCTGCGGTTGCGATAAACGCTGCGGTTCCGATAGACGCTGCGGTTACGTTATCCGAGCTCTATAGTAACCGCGGTTCTATCGTAACCGCAACGTCTATCGTAATCCGAGCTCTATAGTTAGGTTAGTTTGTTCGGGTTAAGTAGATCTCATTTTTCAAACACACATTGGAAAGAATATGGTTGGAATACCCTCCCTATATTGTTTTCTATTCCTATTACGGGAAAAAACAAGATCTGGCAACATTGCTTGTTATTGTCTGTCAATTTATCATGTCTGTCAAGTGTCACGTTCACGTTTGATGCATCTTTTAATCATAAAAAAACACATACATAAAATTAACAAGGTAAATAGCAAATGAAATGCTTTCATTGTTAAAATACCCAAATAAAATGAATTGAGAAATACATAATTCATCAATCAACAACGAAAGAAAGAAGATAGAGAATTATACCGCTTGAGGAATGTTGCTAAAAGACGCTGAAAAATGATGAACAAAATGACTTATTTTGCAAATATCTCGAAAAGTATTGGTTTCCCAGCTTTTTGGTTTTCAGATTCGTATTCTACACCCCAAAATACGTAAGTACTGGCAAAAATTTTGAAAAAATTCGACAATGCCCTCTAAGTAAAAAATTACCAAAATGAGAATCATAGACCTAGAAAAAGATATTGCTGAAGCAGAATTAGCAGAAACATCAGAAGATGAAGAAGTAAGCGTGAAATCAAGAAAAACATATTGCTCAGATAACACAGCAGGTGTACATCAATGGATTAGAGAAAATTTCCAAGAATGCCAAGACGAAAAAGCAGCATGTACAAGTTCTACAAATAAAATTGATATGGAAGGTGAAAATTCATTGACTAGACTATGCCAAGTGATAGAGAAAGCCGTTACAAATGCACAAAATCCAGAATTAGTGGAGGGATTAATGAACAGGCAAGTGCTTGATAAAGAATTTCCTATTTTTGATGGCAAACCAGAATCTTGGCCACTATTCATCTCACAATATAGACGAAGAAGCCAAGTCTGTAAGTACACAGATGATGAAAAAATGGCTAAATTACAGAAGTGTCTTAAAGGTGATGCACTTGAATGTGTGAGAGGAATGATGTTGCATTCTAAGAATGTGGAATCAATTATTTACACTCTAGAAATGCGATTCGGAAGACCTGAATACATTATAGAGTCTTTAATCAACAAAGTAGAAGTTTTTCCTATAATTAAAGACAATGATTTCGAGACTTGTATCAAATTTTCTTGTCAGGTTCGAAATTTAGAATCGACACTAGATCAGCTAGATGCGAGGAACTATATGGAAAATCCATTTTTATTGAAGAAAATTGTTGAGAAGGTACCAAACAATTTGAAAATTCAGTGGGGCCAAATTGTATATCAGAAAGAACAAATGAAAATGACGATGGGGAGTACTTTTTACATGCATGGGAATCAGAGCAATTCACCTCGAAATAGTGCACTCACTCTCTGCAGATAGTACGATTATGGCAGTACAAAGGATGATGGCAAGTATCACTGAAAGATTTTTCTGCATGGTTCCACACTATTGCCACAGCAGCATGTTGCATCAGCACGCCGAAGTTCACAAATCAAAATTCAAAACCATTCAATTATAGACGACATGAAAATGTGATGAATACAATCAATGTAAAATGTATTTATTGCAAAGAAGATCATCACATAAGCAAATGTTCTGTTATTAAGAGTGACCCTATTGATGAACGTTGGGCAAAAATAGTTCAATTGAAAGCATGTTTTTGCTGCCTAGGGATCAATCACATGAAGAATAAGTGCAAATTAAAAAGAAAATGCGGTGTGGATGGCTGT